GAAAAAAAAAAAAAGGTAAGTAATTGTCTCAAAGATGGGAGGAATACGGGATAACTTACGAGGGAAATCATTGATTTCCAGCGTCGCATGGAACGCTCCGGCGTCAGGGCCACGATTATCAATAGGAACACCTGATCTCATCACACCCGCACGACTCAAACGTGCATGGATATCCGCAACGGCGGAGCCCACCTTATCCAACGGATTCTTTGAGGCACCCGCCGGTGCTCTCTCCGTACGATGCACGACGATCTTTCCATCAAGATCAATACCTTTCGGCACACCCGGCATAGAAACTGGAGCTGTAGCCGGTGCAACAGCCGGGTCAGCGGCGGATCGGACAGCTGAAAGAGCCTTGTTGAATCGCTCATCTGACTCCTGCTCAGTCTCAAGTTTATCTTCTTCATCATCCTCATCACCGGTTTTGTATGCTTTCCGCTCACGCAGTCGCGCAGTTTCACGTTCCATATTAAGACGGTCCAGACCTTTACCACCGAATCCATGACGGGAGAAATTCTTCTCCTTGCCAGCCTTGACCTTCTCATTGAACCCATCGACCAGCTTCTGGAGAGGCTCGGGGACTTCCTGTCCACTTTGTTTGAGAGCCTTTGCAATATCCAACGCATACCGATCCTGTTCTTCGGTGACGAATGTGACAGCGGTTCCAGTGTTGCCAGCCCGTCCAGTGCGGCCGGCTCGATGGACATAATCCTCCAGGTGATTAGGTGCATCATAGTTGACAACGAGCTTGAGCTGCTTGACATCTAACCCACGAGCAGCAACTGAGGTTGCGACCAGGATAGGGAAAACGCCGGCCTTGAAATCTTGAATCGTGCTGTCACGATCAATTTGGTCCTTTCCGCCATGAATCGACATGCAAGGGTAGCCCTTATACATCAACTGCTTGAGCAAGTCATCTGCAGCCTCTTGGCGGTCCACGAAAATCAACGTGCGATAGTCTTCATTCGCCTCATCTTCGTACAGATTCCCCAGGAGCTCCAACAGGCGGAAGAATTTCTGGTCGTCATTACGGACCTCAACAATTTGCGTGATTTCTGGAGCCACAACACTCTTGCCACCGACAGTGATCTCAACTGGCTCATTCAACGTTTTCCGGGCCAATGCCTCCATACTCTTAGGAAACGTGGCCGAAAAAAGGACAGTCTGCCTGTCCGGTCGAATGCTAGTCATGATCTTCACAACTTGTGGCCCAAAGCCCATATCGAACATGCGGTCCCCCTCATCTATGACGACATACGTGATACGGCGTAGATTGAGGACCCGTCCTTGGTTTGCGGCCAGCAGATCGATGAGACGACCAGCAGTGCATACAATGATTTCCGCGCCTCGTTTCAGTTCCGCAATTTGGTCTTTGATCGGGGCTCCGCCATACGCGCAGACAGCACGAAGACCCAGCGCCTTCAAGAAAGGCTTACAGTCTTTATGGATTTGGGTGGCCAGTTCACGGGTGGGGGCCAAGATCATACTGATGGGGCCATCTGTACTAGCCAAGGGCCGTTGGTCTTTGATGTGCCGAAACATTGGAACCAGGAAAGCACCAGTCTTGCCTGAACCAGTTTTTGCCACGCCGATGACATCTCGACCGGACATGATCGTGGGGATTGCTTGTGCTTGAATGGACGTGAGGTTTTCCCACCCGAGCTTGTGAACAACATCTAATGTCTGAACGCCGAGACCGCATTGCGACCACTTTTGAACAGGTTTAGGGACATCACGACCGCGGACCTTGATGCCATCGAGTTCAAGTCGCAAGCTTGCTACCTCTTCCTCGGTCATCTCGGCAAGGTTGGATGGTTCGGTGTAAAATTCCTTACGGAACGGCTCATACTCGATCTTAGTGTGGTCGATATCAGGCATCTCCCGCTTCTTCTTTTTACTCGCTGCCAGGGCAAGGACATCTTCAGCCTTCTCGTCACCAACTGCCGTCACATCCACATCCTCATCGCCGCCAAACATTGCCTCTGGTTGTTGGCGTGTGGTCTTCTTGGCAAACGTGGCCCCAATTGTCCGTTCAGGCGGCGTCGAGTCTTGGAGTTCAGCCATGAACGCATCCAAGGGATCGACTTCTTCGGCCTCGTCAACCTCCATGGGGGTAGAGTCGGCCTGCGCGTTCGTCCACTCATCCATATGGACATCATCATTTTGATTTTGGAGTCGTGCATCCCGGCGTTCAGTTGCGGCGCGTGCTTCGGCTGCTGCGTGTTCTTCCGTTCCTTCAACTTGCATGTCTACATCATCATCTTCTCCGGCATCATCCACCTGTGCACTCACATCGAGAGGCGCCGTTGGCAATTTCTCAAGTTTCTTGCGTGTTGATTCCTCATCTCCATCCCCAAATCCCAGAGTTTTAGAAGCAGAGGGTTTCTCTGTTTCGGAAACTTGTCTCGCACCCAGGCCAAATCCGCTAACGTTACCTTTGGCTTTCAAGGGACCAGAGAGCGTGGCAGGCGGAGCACTTGCTAGATTGGATTTTGTCACAGACGGGGCTTTGGCAGCCGTCGGGACGGCAACATCGGTACCAAGCACGGCGGGAGCAGCAGTGGTCGTGGTTGATGATTTGACGATGGCCTTTGGATCAAACTTCAACTTTCCGGGAAATTCGGCAGGGCCTGGAGCTGGAGACACAACCGATTTACGGTCAATCGCTTCGAGTATATTTTTGGGATGAGCTGATGCCTGTTCTTTTTGCTTCTTTTCGCGTTCGGCGGCTTGTTTCTGTTTCCATGCTTCAAGCTTGGCAAGTCTCTCTGCCTTCTTCTCTTCGTCTGTCTGAGCAGTGGGGACCGGTGTGGACGGCTTTGATGGCTGCGGGATACAATTAATATCAAGGGCTCGGCATGATGCAAGACGCGGGCAGCTTACCTCTCGGGTTCTAGACCTGGACCGTCGACTCGCAGCACGATCACGGCTGTCATCCCGTCTAGACTTGGGCTTCGAGTCAGCAGAATCATCTATCCGCCTGCGATCCCGGTCGCGGGAGTCATCTCGCCTAGAACGGTAATCTCTATCACGACTTCTGCGGCGGAGATCATGGTCGTCGTCTCGTCGCCGCTCTCGGGATCGGTCTCTTCGAGCTGGCCGATAAGTATCTTCGTCGCGCCGATCTATGGGGAGTTCTCGTCGTCGATATCCATCTCTATCGCGAGGGCGGTCGCGCCCGCGGTGCCGTCTCTGGATATCACAAGTATGGTCAGAGATTGCAAGATAATATGTGAATTTGGATGCGCCACACGTACCTCTGGGCTGCGGGATCTGCGGTAACTGCGCCCATCATCCCGCCTGGTTCTGTCATGGCGATCATCCTCTCTGCGAGGCCGACGGGATGAAGAATACGTGCTGCCTACAGGTGATGGTGAGCGAGTATCTCCGTGGCGAGCCATTGTTGCAGGCTGATCAGTGAGTGTTACTGGAACGCAAAAGCACCCGCGATTCGGATCGATGAAGGGGAGAGAGAGGGGAAGAGGAAGCGCCCCGTGAGAAAAGCTTTTGAGACGACAATCAGGCCTCAGGCCACCGCGAGAGAAGAACGTGTGAGGTGTTTGTCTATCGCATCGTCACGGCGCAAACCGTTCGAATCAAGAAACAGATTACGTAAGGCATATGAAGGAGCTAGGCCCGATGCGGATAGGTCCACCACAGCAGGCGCGCCTCTTGCTCCGCTTGCGTCAACAGCTCCTCTTGTTATCGATTCTTAGCTTTTGAATATTGAATTGCTAATTTGACTTATTTTGGTCTTTATTATTCAACCTCGCTCCAGCTAGGTCTACTTCGATAACCACTTCATGCCTTGGCAGTCGGCAGCTCGGGGGGGCTTCCTCCGCACCCTGCACCGCGGTTCTCTCTCTCCCCGTACTGGCGTGAGCAACCTGCAGGATCAGCTCCGTCGTGTCTGCCTGACAGCTAGCTCTGGTCCGGCGCGTCCGCAAGTCCGACTCCTTTCCTCCTCCCAATCGATGTTCCAATCGAATTCATTCGCGACTACTTCTACCCCTCTCAAGGCGAGCAAGACGACCAAGGCGAAGAGCTCTAAGAAGGCCGGCAGCGAAGCGAAGAAGAGGCCTCTGAGCGAGAGACAACAGGAAATTCAGAAAATCAAGCAACTCCGGGATCATATCAGAGAACTCAAGGCGACTGCCCTCCTGGCCGGGCGACCCAAGCTCCTTCCCGTTAACACCTACACTATTGCTATGTCTGAGAAGCTGCGTGAGATCAAAGGTCAATACCCGGGCAAGGAAGCATTCTCCATTGCTGTAGAGCATGCCAAATCCCTCAGCCCTCAAGATAAGGAGGTATGTTGCCTTCAGGTTCTCAGTACATGTTAGGAGCGGCATACTAATCCCCCAATCCAGAGACTCCAAGCTGAAGCCAGGGCGAACATGGCCGCTAACGCCGCTGCTTATGACTCGTGGCTCAAGTCGCACACACCTCTCCAGATCAGGGATGCCAACACTGCCCGGCTAACCCTTTCGCGTCTTTCCGACAAGAACTACTCTTCACTCCAAGACGACCGCTTGGTCAAGTTACCGAGATCCGCCTACGTTTTATACGTGAAGGACCGCATCGATTCCCATGATTACCAGGGAAAGCCTGGCAAAGAGAGCTTCTCAGAAATTGCCCGCGAATGGGATGCACTACCCCAATCGGAGAAAGATGTAAGGACCCTTAGCAGAATCGATACATACTGGACTTTGCAGATGCTGACCGTGAATCTAGCGCTACCGCACCATGCAAGTCGAAGATCGCCAACGGTATGAGACAGAGCATGAGGAGGTGTATGGAAGCCCAGCACCCCGGAGCCATCGGTATCAATCACCGGAAGACTACCTGTGAAGCTGAGCCTAAAACCTGAACCCGAATTATACCGGGGATTTCCAATAGGATGGTGTTGACCTAGTCGAAGGAGGTTTCTTTCGAAAAGGGGGTTGCTTAGTGCGGACTTGCAAGCTTGTTTGTCACATGCCGTTTTTCAATTTCCCATATGGCTTGATTCACCTTTTCTTATTGTACTGTAGTTTGTCCTGTCTATCAAGCTGTTCCTTTACATTGATTGTTTTTCTTTGATCGGGCTGTGGAGGCGCTGCAATAGGATATCGTAATGGATTCATGCGGAGTTTACCGTCTCTAACCCAATTCAATTCCCTCTAACAGTGTCTATTAAATGAATGAGTCAAGAAAAAAAAGACCCTTCTAATCCTTTTTTTACGATGCAGACTCTCCACCAACCCCGCATTGGGCCCTTAATTTTTTACTCCGAAGCTCAAGTAGCGGTGTGCAAAAGATGTGTTGCGCTTGCAGGTGGCCTTTTTAGTCTGAGATTTGCATTGAGTAAACAATTGGCCTCGAGGAGAATTTTGCAGCATCTTCGGGTGTACTCTATGCACCTTGTGCAAAACAGGTGTTGTCCGTGGTCATAGTCCGAGGGTAAAAACGCGAACATTGCAGGTACAAACAGGACTAACTATACGATGCAATAAATATAACGGAGTTCCTGCATTTAGATATGTGGTTGTCAATATATATGTTGTGGACTATGGATCCATATATGTATACGTAGTGCCTCTTTATATACCTAGGTACTCCGTACTCCTATGCAATTGGACTTTAAATTGGGGATAGTACCACGGTACTGCACAAGCTATATTCTAGCGATCCATGGACTTGAAGTTGGGAACCATGGAATCGGGGAACTGGTATCGTGGGGTCTGTGCCACATTGGATTGTTGACCTCTCGAGTATGCCATGCAGATTGTAGAGAAAGTCAACACGTACATATTTTAGTATACATGTATGTATAGAGTACATCTTTTCAGTTTCAGGCACTTGCTTCGTACTTCGTTGAGGTATGCGCTTAGCCTTTCTGTGTTCCCAGCCATCTATGTTTTTATTTTCAATCTCCTGGGGTGCTCATATAAGTATGTTGTCCAAGTTTGAGGGACTCGAATAATCTCTATATTACTCGGCGCACCCTCGACCACATAAATACAATAATAGCAACATTGAACAGGGTACATTGTACGGCCGGAGTACATGCCTTGGAAGTTAGTGGGCTAAATGGGATGATCTTCACCTCCACCGCCTGAACTTATTTATCCCTGCCTTTCAAGAAGATCCCCTCCCCAGTCTAACTTTTCCATATTTTTCTCCCTGGACTCCCTTGACCCCTTGAAATTTCTTGTGCTCAGTTTACGGCAGGAACAGTTTTACAGACTGCGTCATTTTCTCTTAATCCGTCTATATATCTCCTATCAGCATCCAAAAACACCTTGAAGTCGCGCCGGTCGTGCAGTGAGGCTCTCTGACTTTGATTTGACTTGATCTATTGCCTAATAGTCTCATAACACCGCTCGGACGACCTTACCACACCAATATCGCACTCACGCACCTCCGCGCCGAAAAACACTGTGATCGATTGGGACAATATCCCCCGCCAGGACTCGAATCCAACCCACCTACCGATGCGTTCGCTACTTGACATCGCTGAGTTGCCGTATCAGTGATCGGACCGGGCGTGAACTCGGCGCATGTGATTTTCGACATGGAAGCGATTGAGGGGTCTTATCGCGCATGCGCGGGGAAGACCAGCGCCGCGGAGGATGTCGCATACTACAAACGGAAGGTGCAAATAGAGGAGAGACTCATCGACGAAGCCTGGACTACATTCTCGACTACGCAAGCGAGCTTTTGCCTGCCAGATAACTGGGTGGACCAAAAAGGCGATTTGGTCACCGGTTTGAGTTCTCGCTTTCCAACTCGCTCACCAGAGCCACCGTCGTACGACCAGCCTCCGCCTCCCTACGCCGATGTGATCCATGATCTCCCTCCCGAATACTCTGCACTGCCTCCACTCGCGCAGCGCAAATCTACGGCTATTTCCTTCGCGCCAAAGACTCGTGAAAAATCGCATAGTCTGTCATCCTCGTTGCTGAAAGATCGTATGCTGGATGTACGCATTGATTTTGAGAACCCTACCGGTGTTCGGGAACATAAGAAGAAAAAGCCCGCGGCAGCAAAGAAAGCAGTACCGCCCCCTTCTCCCCCTCCTCCGCCGCCACCGGCAGGCGGGGATGGCGGAGGAGACGACAATTCCAACGGTGATGGTGGTGCCAGTGGGAACGGTGGTGATCCAGGCGGCGCTGGAGACGGCGACGGGGGAGATGGCGGTGACGATTGGGGCGATTGGAATGTGAGCGGAAAGAAAGATAAGAAGAAGAAAAAACTGGAGGAGGAAGAGGAAGAGAGAAAAGCCAAGGAAGAGGAAGAGAAAAGGGCTAAAGAGGAGGAAGAGAGACAAGCCAAGGAAGAGGAAGAACGAAAGGCTGCTGAAGCCTCTGCTGTCAAAGATCTTAGCTGGGCTGAGGATGACGGTGGTGGGGGCGACGACTCGTGGGCTGCCTTCACGAATGTAGGAAAAAAGAAGAAAGGAAAGGTAAGACCATCCTCCTCTGATGTACAAGATGGTTGCCTAAGTAAAATTACAGGGCGAAGTTGCCACCCCTGGCGGGTTCCAGGATGTAAGTCTTGATAACGGCGCACCGCAATTGGACTTGAACTTCGACAGTCCAGCTCCCAAGACCGGCGGAACTGGGTTTAGTTTCGGAGGATGGGGTAAAGACTGGAATACGGGTGGCAAGCTTGATCTTGGAGAGCCTCCCCAAGACGAATCTAAGAACAACAACCCCTGGGGAACAACCTCCAAGAAGACCGGCGACTTCGATTTTGACTTGGACTCCGCACCCGCCGAAACAAAGCAAGAAGATGACTGGGGAGGTTGGGATGTGAGCAAAGACAAAAAGAAAGGGACAGATCCCGCACCCGAGGCTCCTGCGCCTCCACCTCCGCCTGCACCCAGAGTCGATTTCACGCAGGAAGCCTGGTATCTAAATCTTTCCGGGAAAGAGCGCCGTAAAGCGAAGAAGGAGATGGAGAAGAAATACAAAGAGGAGGATGAAGCTGCAGCAAAGGCGACAGCAGAGTACGAAGCAGCCAAGGCTGAGGCCGAGGCAGCAGCAGCAGCAGCAGCTGTACCCGACCCTGAACCTGAACCGGTGGTCGAGGAGAAGACTCAACAACCACCCGAGGCAGATAACGACTGGGGTTGGGGTGCTCCAGTGAAGTCCAAAGATAAGAAGAAGATCGACCTTTTAGCCGATCCGGAGCCTATCATCGACGAACCTCCCGCGAAACCAAAAGAGCCAGTTGATGTTTTTACCGCTTGGGGGATCTCCTCAAAGGACAAGAAGAAAAGCAAAGGCAAAGCTGAGCCAGTACCTGAGCCAGAACCCATTCCAGAACCGGAACCTGAACCTGAACCAGAGCCTGAGCCAGAGCCTGAGCCAGAACCGGAGCCAGAACCCGGACCCGAGGCGCCAAAGGTACCTGATGAGCCTCTATACGAAAATTGGCGTGAGATATCGTCTAAAGAACGCAAGAAGCGAGAGAAACAATTGATGCGCAAGGGCCTTCCCATTCCCGGCAAGGACTTCGAGCTCCCATCCGACAAGCCGCCTGAAGAAGTGCCTGAACCAGTTGTTGAACCTGAGCCGGAATCAGAACCAGTCCTTGAGCCTGAGCCTGAACCCGAACCTGAACCTCAGCCGGAGCCAGAGCCAGAGCCTGAACCAGATAAACCGGCCGAAGATGAATCCTGGGGAATTTGGGGGGCAGCAAAGGACAAGAAAAAGAAGAAGAAGGGGAAGGATGTTGAAGAACCTCCCCCACGTGCGCCGACACCTCCTGCTCAGGGCCTGACTCCAGAGCCAGAAACTTTCCATGACAATGCCGACGATATTTGGGCTGAGCTAGCCCCTAAGACGTCAAAGAGCTCAAAGAAGACCACCAAAGCCATCGAACCCCCCAAAGAGGAAAAGTCGTCGAAAGGCTTCTGGTCGACCCTGACTGGGGTTTCTACAAGCAAAACCAAATCAACGAAGAAGGCAGATGAAAAGTCCAAGGCGAAAGAGGAGAAGGAATCCGAACCCATAGAAGAGGAAGACCTGCTTATCGATGTTGGTGACAACGCCCCAGAACCTGAACCGGAGGCAGAGCCTGAACCAGAACCGGAACCGGAGCCTGGACCCGAACCTGAGCCTCCTGCCCCCGAAAAGATATCCAAGTCTAAGACTTCCAAGCTCAGTGTGGCTGAGCGCATCAAGGCCCTGGAGCAGGCCAAAAAGGAAAAGTTAAAGGCGGAAAAGTCTAGCTCGAAGAGCAAATCCAAGGAAAAGAAGGTCGAACCGGAACCAGAGCCAGAGCCAGAGCCGGAACCTGAGCCTGAACCTCCCGTAGAGGAGCCTGCTCCAACCAAGAAGAGTTCAAAATCCAAGTCTAAGACAGCAGAAGCTCTTGAGTTTGAAGAAAGGAAAGTCTCTAAGGACTCTGTTCCTGGGAGCTTCCCAGACTTTGGAGATGACCCCGAGCCTGAACCCGAACCTGAGCCTGAGCCAGAACCAGAGCCAGAACCCGAGCCCGCGCCTGAGCCGGAACCTGAGCCACCGGCCCCAGACCTGTCAAAGATGACGAAAAAGGAACTCAAGAAGTATAAAAAGGCCGAAGCTGAGAAAGCCGCAGCAGCCGCAGCGGCGGCTGCTGCGGCTGCTGCCAGGGAGCCAACCCCACCACCTCCCGAGGAGACACGTGCGCTAGACCCGGAGCCGGAACCAGAAGCAGAAGCAGAGCCAGAGCCAGCGCTAGAACCTGAAGCTGAAGCCGAAGCTGAACCCGAGCCCGAGCCTGTACAAGAGGATCCAGAAAAGGAGGACGAAGGTGATCCTCCCGTGCCTGCACCAGAGCCTGCTGAAGAGCCTCCCAAGTCCTCCAAGAAGGAGCGAGCGCGCGCTGAACGGAATACGAATACCTCTTCGTGGGGCTTTTGGGGAGCCGCGCCGCCCCCAAAGAAGTCCATTAAGAAGGAAAACAAGATCCAGGAAGAATCAGAACCTCCAAAGAAGTTAAAGAAGGAGAACAAGCTCCAAGAGGAGGTGGAACCTCCGAAGAAGTTGCCTAAGAAGGAACCTAAAATCCCAGAGGAAGTAGAACCTCCAAAGAAAAAGGAGTCTACTCGAAAATCTCGACCCAAAGACCCCGAACCAGAAGTGGAAAGGTCTTCTGCTTCTGACCGAGAGAAGCGGCGAGAACGAGAGGGGCGAGCTTCGAAGAACCAACGTGGCGTGGCCTTGGCCAACATGGTACTGGGTACACCCCAGTCCAGAAGCAAATCGACTCGCAAACCTGGTTCTTCGTCGAAACCCGTATCCAGGCGCCCATCAGTTGATATAGATGACAAAATTGCCGACCCAGCATCTCCGGATGAGAAGCCTGAGGTTTCTGGAAAAGCAGCCAAGCTGATGGGCATGGATCCTTCCAAGTCTCGACGCGAGCGCCCGCGCACGGACAGGCGGAAATCAGGTATGTTCCTTTCCGTCACAACTTATATATTCTCGCTGACTTCCTGCCTACGAAACAGTTCGAGATCCGTATGCGATCGAGGATGATGACCTCGTTATGGTTGACATGGAGGATGTCGAGGGTCATTCACCCAAGGAGGGCTCCAAGGGCTCAAGGCGTAAGCCTAAGAGACAGGTATGTCGGGATGACCGCTTTATGCTTTGTCCTGTTTTACTAACTGATGGTCCTTCATAGTCGCGCCCCAGGCCTGAGGACGACGACGATGCTGTCTTGGTTGATCCATATCAAGCACATCCCGCCCCAGATGTCATGTCAGGACCCGAAGGTATGGCCTCTGTCGGCACGCCTCCAAGAGAACGCCGTCTGAAGCGTTCCAACGCCGCGCCGCCGAAGAAACAAGAGAGCGGTGGATTAATGGGGCTCCTCGATTCTCTGAGAAAAGGCACACGCCCCGACCGTCCAGAACGCCCAGAGATGCCTGAAAGACGGAAGTCGCGGTCATATCGTGATGACGACGCAAGATATCCGCCAGAAATGGACCGCGACGGCGCTCGCAGATCACGCCGCGAAGATCGACGCCGAGGTTCTGTCCGACCAGACACCGATGCCGAAGGGTTCATGACCGACGCCGCTGGTGCAGCAGGCGGCGAGACAGAAGCCGACGAAGCGGAAGCTCGGCGCGCAGCACGCCAGGCACGACGTGGATCCCGCAAGGCACCTTCTGACTCTCGTGAAACGGAAGCTCGGGAAGCAGAGGAGCGGCGCGCGAGGCGAAAAGAACGGGCACGCGAACAACGTGCTCGCGAAGAGGAAGAAGAAGAACGACTACGAGAGGAAGACCGTCTACGAGAAGAAAAGCGGGCGCGGCGAGCTGCACGCGAAGAACGACGTGCTCGAGAAGAGCAAGCAGCTCGTGAAGCCGAAGCTCAAGCCGTGGCTGAAGCTAGGGCGGCAGAACGCCGCGAACGCCGGCGACTGCGGGAAGAGGAGATGATGGCCGCGAGAGCGAGCCGGCGTCGTGAACGTGAGCAAAGGGTCCCTGAGGTCCTGCCCGATGAGCGTGAGGTCGACCGTCGAGGGGCTCCTAGCTCGCGTGCGTATGAAGACCCGAACGCTCGTCGTCGCAAGTCTAAGGTCGCCCCTGAGCCGACTCGGGAGCCGCTCATGACTGGTGGTTTGAATCGTGGCGGGGGTGCGAAAGACAAGATTTCCTCGTGGGTTTACTCGCAAAGTGATGAGCCTCCGGAGCCACCGGAAATAGTGCCCACTCTTATTGATCTGCCTCCTCTTGCAGCTGATGATGGAGGAAATGCTCACTCTCTTTCATCGGATGAGGAAGCCCGTCGCGCTCTTCGCCGTAAGGCCCGCCGTCGTGCTAAGTATGAGGAAGAGATTGATGATGCTCGTTCGAGGCATCGTGGCTCTCGTCGTGAAGGTGTGAAGAGCAGCTCTGGAAGTGGTGATTATGAACGTGACCGTGGGATGAGCCGGCATGGTCCTCCGCCGAGTTCAGGCGCTAAGAAGCCCAGTTGGTTCCGCAAATTAACGAACCTGTAAACCGGAGATTTGGTCATTCTCTATCTATCCTTGTGTGGGGGGGTTTTGTTCTTTGTTTTGTATATTGATTGCAGCGTTACTTTTCTCTTTCTTTTTGGTTATTTACAAGGTCTGTGATGAAATTCCAGACAGACAGGATGTGACGACATGTATGAAGCTCATATGATACTATGACCCGCAATATGCGCAATTTGGATTCTTTATGATTATTGTCAGGTGGTTACAGTAATATCTTTATGACATACCCGTGGACGCTGTATCTTCACTACCAAGAGAGTAGTCCACCGCATATGTGGCCTCTGCCCTCGACCTAGAACTTTGATAATCTGATTTATCTAGCCCAGGATGATCGTATGAGGGAGGTTTATTTGGACGTTCTTGCCGGATGTCTCTTTTTGTAACTTTTCGTTATCCTTGTTATAACTAAAAGGAAAATGAGACACCACATGTAGGACATACGAAGGCCGGCAAAAAGTGTAAGTCGTATTATTGAGGACTTTCCTATATATAACCAGAGCACGAGATCCATTTCGACAAGTGATAATCCTGGCTTCTATATGGCAGATATACAATGGACTACGAATACGAATAAAACCTCACGTCCAATTCTGGGAAATGGAGATTGTTGCCTGATCCTCGGGGTGTCACCAATAGGGTCTTTCGTATTCTCCTCTTTCTCAATCCGATGTGAAGTAAGACCTTCAATGCCATTCATTCCTCCATGATCTCATCCCCGAGAAACATCACCAAGTCCTCCGAGTTGGATAAGTTTTAAATACTTAAATATCTCCAGATCCCACCTCATCAGGGTATGAATATTCTATATGCGTTCCATAACGTTGTGGCTAACCAACTCACTTCACCAGACCAATCTCCATATCGCAAGCTTTCTTCATCATCCTCGAACTCGACCACAAAACCTGCTAAGCTGAACAACCCTCGCTACCTACAGTTCACTTCAAGTCCACGAATCACGCAGTCACGTCCCACGCCTATCCCACACTCAAAATGTCTGCACCAAGTGCCGTCTTGGACTTCCAAAAGGAGCGAACCAACTTCCTATCATGGCTCGAGGACCAAGCCCGACTTATCAGACACCAGCCGAAGTCGGATACCCTTGCAGAAGTCAAAGCCAACCTACGCGAACGATGTGCTAAGTACCTAGATCGACTCACCGAGGCTTCCATCTTTATGGCTTGTGAGGCAAGCGATCATATCTGCGTTACTGCAAAGCCTGACCGGTTCTACAATGATCAGGTTCCGAGAATGTGCAGTCTTCTTCAGATAAGGATGCCACAACTGGCTGCGAGGCTTGGTATCAATTCTAAATGCGACATGTGTGTGCATTTCATTATTATGAATATTCTGGCGGAGCCGGGTTTCTGATGGCTGACTTGGGGTATGAATAGTTGTGAATACCAATGGATATCGTTTTATCGTCCTACTTATGTCTTGTAGATATGGGTATAGGGTCGTCGTTGTGTTTACACGTACCTTGTGAAATCACTTTTGGTTCTTTTCCTGATATTTCTTCCCCTTCTCGGTTTAAACCGTACAGACGACCATTCTGTTTATAACCAGGATGTGGCTCAAGGCAGAACACTTTGATACCATGAAAGCTACTCAATTTTATAAGATATTTGCCAAAATTGAATTGATACTGCCATAATTGGGGACATAACGGACTATCAATACGCATGGATCATTTCAGAAGAACTGCCCTTCCGGCCTCCAAGTCTTCGATCTCCTTCTGCAACTGCTGTCGTCTCCGCTTTGATGCCCTGCCCTCTCCGACTATCTCCTCCAATCCCTCGTTGGAAAGGTCATTAACCCATGAAGGGGAAAACAACTTCATCGGGGCGTCTGGGCCAGTGACCAGGTAATGGTCCGCAGCTTGCATACATACATTATCCAGGAACCTCTTGCAAGTCACCTTGTAGTAAGAGGCGAGAATATTATGGATATCCCGCACAGTATGGTCGACGTTGCTCATATGGTGTTGGTGAGCGAGGTCACTCAGTCGGACAACCTCTCCGTGTTTGTAATCGTCAAAGGACTTTTTGGCAGCCGTCGAATACATTCGCTTTTGCCGACTACAACATTTGCAAAGTTAGCAGTCAAACCAAAGGCGTTCAGAAAAGTATAGGTAACTGACCATTTTTCGAGATTGTCGTTGAAGTAGTGATTGAGTGTAAGCGGGGTCCCTTCGCGTTCAATTCGCAAGAGAAACTCAACCGTTGAGATTGCCTGCTTGTACTTCTCAACAAGGTCGTCCATGAGTAGGGATATGATATTTGTAGCGATCTGCGTGCTTTTGGAGACAACTTCAAGCGCTTTGTGTATGAATGCATGCCCGACACTGATAACATCACTGATGTAGCCACGCGCAAGGATCGGTCATTTGACAGACTGCTTCTTCATGAGGGTAGAGAGTAAGGTATGATTGAATGTACCGATCTCGAAGCCCCGAGAATTGGAGTAAATCTCCTCAATCCACGGAAGAACCCACAGTTTGAAGGAGGGCTCCACGGGTTCGGAAGCATGTAGAATCTCTTCAAGGTCCTCCACTGAGGTGTTCTGAGTTGTATCCCAGGTTTCCCGGCTTTGGAAGATATCTTGTTGCTTTTCAGTATCGGCTGGATTATTGCTCCTTTCTTCACAGTCATCAAGAGTGCCGTCTGTCTCCTCCGGCTTCGACTGGAAAGTGTAGGTGTGACCCCAATGGGCGAGGTTGTTCGAAAAGACATCATTCTTGAGAGAGACTAATGTAGCCAGGCGCGAATCCTTGTCTTCATCGAACACATCATTGACGCCATAATTTGTGGCAAGGGCGTGCTGTGTAATCTCCTGAAAAGCCGACACAATATCTAGAAGAATCCGCCTCTGCTGCTCCGCTGTCTCTCGCTAGACACCCAGAGATTGCAAGAGGCTTTTCGCGTCTTTAAGCCTCTTGATGACTTCAGAGCGCACCTTTGGAGAAAAGCATCAGCAAGCTTATCGACAGCAACGGAAGGTTATGCGTACCGAGGGGAACTCGCGGCGGACGTTTGATGTGAGGAGTCCTTGGAGGCGAGCCATCAATGCCGAGATCCCGTAATTCTCAGGCGGTACACGATTCCAAGGCGCATGTTGATAAAACATCCCTCGGGTTCGGTCCACATTCCCAGCCTGAAGCTGTTTTTGACCGAGATGAAGATGTGAAGGAACCCAAAGAGAAAGGGCATTCAGGTACACCTTTTCTCTTGTTGAGGCTACTAGGAACTGAGCATCTGAGCGACTGGGGGAAAACCAAGAAGAATTCCAACCTATCAAAAGAAAGGCCTTTTACAAAGGCCATAAAGAGCAAACAAGAAAGGCTCCGTCTGAAAAACCAGGCATCCATGCATCTATGGGAGATATCATCATCTCTACTCCAGCCTTAAGACGTATACTACGGAGTATCCATTGATTAATTTTACTTTCAAATTCTAGCAAGTTTTATATCCCTACAAGACGAAGGTATGTAGCTATATAACTTCTTGATATTAGTTGAAGCCCGGATTGATCCCTATGGGGCCATCAACTTATTCAACCTGGAAAGTCTCTTTGTCCCATCCATACAAAGTCCTCAACCGGCGGGCCACCGTGAGAACTCGATATCCTTCGATTTTAGACTGGTGTGGTCGGTGCATCGTGAACGATTTCTTCGCCGTCATGCTGTCCGGAGGATAGAAAGTGTAAACCGAGCCGTATTTGGGGGAGATTGAGAATCCCAATTTAGCCATTGCTTCAGTGAAGGCCGCCCAGGCCACTGGGCCACGCGACTGGGATTTGGAGAACAACCTCGAGAAGATATCCGCTGTCGAGTCGTCTATCTTGAAGGTCCGTGGTAGCGGAGCAGGCTCCTGGGGACGAGACGGCTCCGCGGGTGTAACAATGTCGTATATAGACGAATGTGAGGGACGTGTCTTTTCTTTTTGTTTCCGCTGTTCGACCCGGATGGCCATCGACACCGGACTCGTTGATGGAGCAGAAGGCCATTCGGCCTTCAATCCCTGCGCCAATTTCGCCTTGGCTTCATCGCATTGGCCTTGAACACCAGACAGGCAGTCCGCAATCATGTCTTGGTACAAGAATCCAATTTTTGTGCCGGACTTTTCGATAGCGAATTGGTCTAGCTTTTTCAAAGCTTCCTGGGCCACTCCCGGCTCCAGCAGATTGTCGATTGGAACGACAAAATCGAGTAGGTCAAGTTGATCCTTGACCTGGTTCAACTCAGATTCCACCTCCTGTGATTTAGATGCGAACATCTGCCCTTTGTTGTTGGAAAAGGAAGGAATTGGGATCATAGAAGACAATTCCTGGACAAATCCAATAATCATAGCTAGGTCACCCAATGAGTCGGCCTCTCTATCCTCTAGCTTTTCCCGCTCCCGAGGATGGGTCTGGTAAAGTTCGCCGAGCTTTTTGATCCAGGGGGTGGCAGTGGAAACAGTGAGCTTTGGCTGGCAGAGACGCAACATGTAATGAAGCTGGGGGTCAGATATGGTGAGGTCTTCCGGATTGCGTTTTACGGCAACGCGCGGGTTCCCGGTGCTGTCGTACATGTTGGAAGTCCGCTTAAACCACTTGGATCCCGTCGCACTCTGAACATGACGCTTGAAAAGAGTTTGCGCACGACTGAATTCTAGATGGCAAATGTTGGAGATCTCCTGAAGGAGAATAGCCCGACAGGCCCTATCCTCGGCCGATTTCTCAAGCAGCTCGAGGACGCTAGCAATATATTTCCAGATGGCAGCTCCTTTAATTGAACTGTGGATAGCCTCAAAGACAGCAGCACTGATATATTTATCAGTGTGAACTGGCAATCGTCGTCCCTTTTCGTCAGGAACGAGTTCTGGGCGGCTGAAGAACCAAATATTCACAGCGTGAGCAAGCACAACAGGCTCAGTGGAGAGCAAAACCAGGTGCTCTTCAAGTGTGTCTTGGTGATCACGGGCACTTGCGACCAGATCGGAAAGTGTACGTTTCTTTTGAGGGGCCCGGACACTTAGTTTTGACAGAGCCGCCGCCGCTCCGTCATCAGTGGGCTTCTTTGGTGGGGCATTTTGAACTCGATTTTGGGAGCCTTGCTCCAGAATATCATCGATGAGGATATTGAGGGTTTGCAAGATGAAAATCTGCCTTTGCATAATAAATTCTCCGACTGACTGGGGAACGCAGACGCGAGCGCGAATGGCGGGTTCAAAAGCAGCCAGGGCGTCTTTAGCCATGAGTTGGAAAGACATGGCATACATGTCGCCTTGAAACATAGTGTAACAGTTTTTAAAGGAGTTGGTGTGTTTGAGTCCCCGTGCGCGCAGTGACTCCTCGATCATAGCATGATCTCCGGGGGCGCCATTGAGGCCTTCACAGTACTGTTGAAATAGAGATGTGGTGGTTCGATGTTTGAGAAGGTTTAAAAGGAAGGCAGGGTCCGATGCGAGGTCGCGTAAATTCAACTCTGGTATGATTTTGTAGACATCTCCCAGAGATCGATCTAAGGGGTGTTGCAACACGGCACCATCTGCAGCTCCAGCCTTGAAACATTCTCCTCGTTCATTAGGGCTAAAAGAGTGCCAGATGGTCTCAACCATGGCGGCATGCTTTCGATATTTTCGAACAAGATCGCTATGGAGCTCTTTCAAGAGGATTGCCTTCTCATTATCCATAGTTCGAGTTGAAGTGGAGGGAATAACAGATACAATGGGATATTGCAGATCTGCGAAGACAGAGAAAGGGAAAAGAGGGCAACCGTCGTCTAAATAGTGAGGGGACAAACGTAAGTGACTACAGGTCAGGGAACTGCCACTGAGAGCTCAGTGGTATTATGAGCCTGAGGCACCCGCCAAGATAAGATTGATGCCTTAATTTTACATTACCTTACCAGCTGCTTGCAACTCTCCACCTCTCTCTTACTAGTACTATACTGCTTTTCATCTTACATAACCACCCCAACTATCCTACATTAATACTGCATTGCTAACCGCCAACATGGTCAAATATGCGCTTCATGTGAGTTTAAAATCAGATGAAAAGTGCTCTAAATAATGGAAAATGGGATGAAAATGACAGTTTATCTGGTGCAGTCAGCGTACCAGTGGTACTGCTCGCAGAAATCCAAGGACGACCTCGGCCTCCCCGACCTCAACCGCCCCAATGTGAGCTTATACTATTTATCTACTGATAAATTAAATACAAACTAAGAGAAAACAGGCCAAGGGGCAGGTTGATTTGTTCCTGGGTGAACGCTTCTGCCGGTATAACAACTGCCCAAAAGATGTGTGTTTCTTTGAGATTTCTTTCATTTCTTTATTCAAATACTAGTAAAAAGGTAGTACTAATTTATCTCTCTAGTCCCCTGCAACATCCACCAACAATCTGCGTAAGCATTACGCAGATAAGCATGCAGATATCACATTGGCAAGTTCTGGTGGCCGGCCTAGCTTGCAGGATGAGAAGGATGCTGTTGGTATGTTAATACACTGTCTTTTACAACTTTTTTACTAGATTCTTACTAGTATTTTAGAATTCTACGTTGCAATCCGGGATGAGTACGATGCGAAGGTTGCTGCTATAGCAGAAGTAAAGCCAGAGATCCCTCGCAAAGCAGATGGAACAGTGAGTTCATACCTTTTACTAGTTTTTTAATTGTATACTGATATTGAAATAGGTCCACCTTACCAACATGCGGAAGGTTGCTAGAGAACGCGGTGGTCAGGTCCCGTGCGAACCATGCAAAGACGCCGAGGATAGCGCAGGTAAGATACTATTAAACAGTTTTATACTACTTATTCACTAGTACTAGGTTGTTGCCGCGAAGAGAATGCTGACCGCTGCGATAATTTCGACCTGTTCGCTACTAGGGAGGGTGGCTCTAAAGGTGAAGAAGCAGAGTAGTGCTTCTTATACTTGTTTTATGGAGTTCTTTAATAGGTTTAAAAGATAAAAAAAGGGTTGTTAGTAGGTCTTGACTAGTCTTTTACTAGTAATTCTGTACTTAGAAAATCGAAAATTAGGCTTTTGCCGGTCCAATTTGTAGTAGAAAAACAGTATAAATCTAGTAAATCCAGGATGTTATTTACTAGTAATCTACGGGTATATTAGTGAGGAATGTAAACAAACACTATCCCTTACTAGTATTTCTTACATACATACCTGAACACGCTGACGTAATGAAACTTACAGTGGATTTCAAAACCAAACAGTGGTATTTTACTAGAAAGAAGGGGGATCCCATTGAGCACGGTCCACAGGGAGTGGATGCCTGAGGCCACGATAACCTTTATTAGGACTAGCACCATTTAGCTCTCTACTGAGCAAGGAATGGCCATGGATGTCTTTTTTTGGCTGGCAGACTGAGCACTTGTTCGCTTAATCCGACCTCTATAAAAAGGCCTACTTTTGCTAGTTTGAATGATCAAGCCTTCTTCCTCCTCCATCTCCCAGTCCATGTAGCCTCAAACAATAATTATGACAGATTTGATATGAGAGAGAGGTAAACAGGAGGAAATTGAATCATGGCAGTCAACGGAAGTTGTCTTTCGTATTAGCCTGCATATCCAAATCAGATCCAGGGTACATATGTATGCACCCCCAATCGACTCTGAGATGTTTACAGGGCTGTTTGCGCTGCCAGACATGGCTTCATTCTCGAAACATCGGGGTTATTCCGCTCCTGCGTTTCGGTTGCTGCGGTGAAAGTCGACATGACGGAAATAGTGGTATCACCTCCCCAGCCATATGGAGTGTCACTAGGCCGTCCGGCCGGGAGATGCTATAGTGTGCTCGGGACCAATGCATGGTCTAACTTTCGTCTTACATTAGACCCGGGGGTGGGAGTCCGTATAATATTAGCCAACTTCTTTTTAGAACTTGCCATCTATGCTTTATCCTTCGATTTGAGGGCTTCCATGTACTCTTATTTGACCTAGGTCTCGAGTAAGCCCGGAAAGAAGTCGCGGGCGATAATTCATTGGAAAGTGACAGATCTAGATGCAAGTGAGCTGAAAATGGAGAAGGCGACTATTTCCGAGGATGGCGATGATCCTCCAGGCTGGGATAAAGATTCCGCGGATGGAGATCCTTTAATGTATAAATCACTTGGGGAGGAAGTGATTTGTCGAGATCGACGGAGGGTTAGTCGAGAGACTATGGCGAGGGAAGTCGTATATCCCTGCTGAGACCGAGGGCCCCTGAGGTAAGGATGGAGATGTCGGTGATATCCTAGGTGAGAATCCGTGGATGACAATCCGATTGTTGGGATGAGGATCCTGATGGGATGAGGTATCTATCTCCGCTTTCCCGATACAGGCCCGCGTTATTTACAGGGACAATATGACTTGAGTGTAAGGCTACAATATTCGCCCAGAGCGTATTCAACTCTGCAAGTCCTATTCTCTAACACTATTGCATCCCAGCTCTTTAAAAGAAGAGCAAGCCACAAGCGAACAATACTAAGCTAAAAGTAATCTCTTCTAGAGAGTAAAAAGGAACAAGTTCTATGAACGACCTAATCTTTCAAGCTGAAGTATAGAACTACAGTTATGGACAAAACTAACACAATAACACCAGGGTTTGATAGAAAGGCGCCAACCCGTGGGGCGGATTTCGATGCCTTTGGCTGGGTGTTCTAACATCGAGTATAATGTTGGCAACAGATAGAAGGGTTGGAGTTGCGATTGGGTTGGGAATACTCACTTGTTCTTGCAAGTCTCCAATGTAATAACTGCGAAGCAGTCGGTCCGCATCCTCGCTATGGCCGACTTCGTCATAAGGCTCAGTAGCATCTTGACCCGCCACCTCTAAAATAACCTCCTCGCCGCCTCTTCACCACGGAAAGCCATTAGCGGGGTGGACCTAAGCACAGGCAGTAAAATCTTGCAGAATTAGAGTACACATACGGATGCTTGTTGACGAATTTAGTACAGTCGTAGACTTTACCATGGATGACCAAGTATAGGTTGTGTGGACTGCTATGCTTGGAGATTTCCTCCTTGGTAAAGGAACGAACTGCAGCCATATTGATGTAGTAGGCAAGTCCCCTAGGACCGGAATATAATGAAAAATGTCAATTTAAATCTCGTGGAAAAAAATATGAGCAAGTAATACAACTATATACAACTTTTCAGGTTTTCGCGGTTTAAATTAACTCTACAACTATATCACTCATATTGCTAAGATTGATAAGTAGCGAAATACCGAATTAAGTCCACAACTCAAGAGATCGATTCCTTATCAAATCTGCTTAGCACACTTACCCCGAGGGTCACTTACCAAACTTGGCTCTGTGCCGATGAGATATTCTCGGGAGGTGACGGTGATTGGCCTAAACATTCCGAATCCAGATGCGACCCGCCAATCTTCTGCGCTGCTTGCAAACTGCCCCTGAGGTCCACGGGTTGAGAACGATATAATGCTTGTGCTCAAAGAAGAGGATATGGGGAGCTGAAAGCCTGGCAGCCTCCAGACAGCTCTCGGGTACGTGGAGAATTTTAAACGCCATACGTACCCCCGTCCCTTACCAACGAAACTTCTCGGAGCTATCTCATGTCTTCAAGATCACGGGCT